TATGCATGGGAAAGAGCAGTAGAGAAAGAGGTACTTTTCTCTCTCACAATACAAGAACTCGTGGGCACTCCGTGAAATTGCTGAGCGGTCGGGTTAGAACGGATAAAAGGAAGTACTTCTTCACCCAAAGAGTGATTAACACATGGAATTCACTGCCACAGGAAGTGGTGGCGGCTACAAGCATGGACAGCTTCAAAAGGGAATTATATAAGCATATGGAGCAGAGATCCATCAAGTTATAGATAGGGGCTCTGGGGCAAGTGATGCTCTGTCTTCTTGGTGCTTTGGGGGGTCAACAGTGGGAGGGCTTCTAATGTCCTGGCCCCACTGGTGGACCTCCTGATGGCACCTGGTATTTCTGGCCACTGTGTGACACAGAGTGTTGGACTGGATGGGCCTTTGGCCAGATCCAACATTGGCGTTCTTATGTTCTAAATAATCCACTTTCCATTTTCAGTGCACTTTCCAACTGGATTTTTAATGTGTGAACTGGCAAAGTCCAGTTGAAAAGTGCATTGAAAGTGGATCGAAAGTGGATTATTTAGTGTGTGTGACCTCGGCCAAGGTCAAGTTTTCCAATTTCTATCCCATCTCTAAATGAGATTCTCTAACAGGTAGCAGAAACTTTAGAGTCAAGTTCCCAAGGATCTCTGACCCTTCTTCATGTTCAATAGTTGGAATGGTGTAGTGTTTAGAATGTCAGGCTAGGACCTAGGGTGGGAGTCCCCAGCCTTTTTGAGCCTGTGGGCACCTTTGGAATTGTGACACAGTGTGGTGGGCACAGGCACAAAACGGCTGCCGCAGGAGGCGCAACCAGCCACAAAATGGCTGCCTCTGCTTACCTTCAGTCGCACAGTGAAGATCCTTGTGCTGTTCTAATGCAATACTAGTGTGGCTCTAGCTAGCTCCTAACAGTGACTGCTGGAACAGTCGTGGGTTTTACATTGTTAGCTTATCAACAGTGGTAGGGCTGTATCCTGAAGATCTGTTCCACTAATTGCACCCTTTGCCAGGGCAAAGAACCTGTCCCAAAGAACCAAGAGAATGTTCCTGGGGCAGGAGGAGAAACACAACCATGGGATCCAACCCATAAGCTGCAACTATCACCCAAGCCAGTGTGGTGTAGTGGATAGACTGGTGGACTAGGACCCTGGGTGACCTGGATTCAAATAACTTCTGCCATAGAAGCTTGGTGAGTGACCTTGGGCGTATCACAAACTCTAACCCTGGCCTACCTCACAGTGTTCTTGTTGTGAGAGAATGGAGGAGGGGAGGATGATGGTCTAAGCTGCATTTGAGTCCCACCTGGGGAGGAAAGCGGGATATAAATAAACAATTTCAAATGCAAAAAGGCATCCAAGCTATCTACCCTCTCATAACAAAACCTGACACGCCACAGCAAGGACAGAAAGGTTTATTCTTCAGCTTCACTTTTTTTTTTTAATGAAAGGGAAAAACAAACAAAGCAAAGACAGTCCTGGAAGAAGAAGCAAGGGTCTCACGGGGCTTCACTGGAACCTGGACTTAACCCCAGGACCCTTTTTTCCAGTCCAAACACCACGAAGGTATTTGGGGAAAGTTCCCGTAAACCACACGCTTCTCAGCACTGAGTAACTGTGACCAGCTTTCTCTCCACCCCCCCATACTCTGGAATTAGGGAACAGGAGCATGGAGAGTCTGAGTGCTTTCTCCCCACACCGGTAGCGGTCTTCCCACTTCAGAGTGACGTAGAGTCTTGAGCAGCATCCATGCTCTTTAGCCCCACTGCTTCCCCCTTGGAACCTCTTGGGAGTGACCCTCCAGCATACCGGGGGCACGGGTAGCTCTTCCTCTCCAGCAATTCCTCCACAGGGTTGGAGAAGTCCTGACAATAGCGGATTCTGTGTTGGTGGCCTGGAATCCGGCCTGGCCCACTCCCTTCTTGGTAACCGGCTGAGCTAAAGCTTCTCAGTCTGCCAGTCTTGAACGGTTCCTTCCCCTGGCTCTTCTCCGGCTCAGAGTTCTTCTGGAGCAGACTGTCTAACATCTTTTGGGCTGCCTGATAATCCAGGTGGGATCCCGACGTCTTCTCCACCAAGCCCGGACACCATGAGACCTCAGCATCATCAGAACTCTCAGAGCTGCTGAGCTCCTGCATCAGTTCCAGTTGCCCGCTTGGTGGAATGCCAGAGGGTGTAGCAGGATGCACCAGTCCAAAGCCAACAGACTGTGGGCCAGGCAAAGGAGGGAAACTGCTAGGCCCTGAGGGAGCCACCAGGGCCTCTTGCCTCAGGTACAAGAAGTGTGGTGTCGACAGGGGGCTCCGCTTGGTGGAATGCCAGAGGGTGTAGCAGGATGCACCAGTCCAAAGCCAACAGACTGTGGGCCAGGCAAAGGAGGGAAACTGCTAGGCCCTGAGGGAGCCACCAGGGCCTCTTGCCTCAGGTACAAGAAGTGTGGTGTCGACAGGGGGCACAGCGGAGTTGTTTCCTCTCCACTGCACTCACTCTCCGTTGAGTTGACGTGCTCGATGGAGAATTTGGTGGATGCCTGTTTCCAAGGAGTAAAGGCGGTCACCTGGGTGTGGCTCCTGCAATGCCTGCTGGGTACTTCTGGCGGTGGGGTAAGGGCCTTGTAGCCCAGCAGCGGGATCTCCTCTCCGTTGGGGGCAGCGGAGTCTGACTCAGAGCTGCAACCTAACTTGCTGGTTTCAGTGGCCGAGTCAGAGTGGCTGAGTGCGAGGTGGGTGTCCGAGGCGCCATCCATGAAAGCAGGAGGGGGTGCGACATCCAAGATGCTCAGAGAACAAAAACTGTCAGGGGACTCTGACTTCTCATTGTGCTGGGGCTCCATGTCGGATTTGGACAGCAGCCCTGAGATCTGAAAAGGGTCAAAGGGTTGAAGAGACACCGTAGGCCGGTCAGACATGACTTATGCACTGACAAACACACAATTCTTTTATTTATTTAAAATACGTACGAGCCACCTTTCTCCCTTGCGGAACTCAAGGTAGCTTACAATATTTATTTATTTATTGGATTTGTATCCTGAAAAAACAATAAAAACAATGATAAAACAACTATTATAAAACCCATAAAAATCACAGTTTAAAATCCTAGTTTGTTGATTTTTAAACCGGAGGTACAGGTAACTATAGTTTGGTGTCATCTTGGGAACTATAATTTGGTGATGTTACTGAGAATTCTCTCTTAGCATTGCCTAGCCCTTACGTTTCCCAGGATACCCTGGAAAGAAGAACTGACTATTATATTGTTTATGTCTGTGGTGTAGATACACAGTTCTTTTTCTTTTCTGTTTTTAAAAATCACTTCTCTACTTTCATAGACTACATTATCTTTACCCTACTTATTCCATGCATGGAAGCCACAATTATAGGATGGGGGAGACTTGTCTTGGCAGTAGTATGTGCGAAGAGGATCTAGGGGTCTTAGACCATACAGTGAACATGAGTCAGCAGTGTGATGTGGTAGCTAAAAAGGCAAATGCAATTTGGGCTGTATCAACAGAAGTATAGTGTCCAGATCACGCAATCAGGGGTCAGTTAGGTCCGGAGCGCACTGGAGTGCTGCTCCGGCAGCCCAGGAGTGGGCAGAAATGTCAGTGGCAGCAAGCCCCGCCCCTAGCTGCCTGCCCCCAAGCTCCTTCTCTATGGAGTCATGCCGCTTTCCATTATATTCTATGGCCCATAGAATATAATGGAAAGATCGCACTGCAGCAGTCTTTAAACCCCTTCTCTCTTGGCTTTTGAAGATACCTTCCCCCACCCCTTTTTGCTGACATCACTTCTGTTGGTGTCAGAGGGTGTGACATATGCTAATGAGCTATTATGCTAATAGCCTATTAGATATGCTAATGAGCTCCTGCAGCTCTTTTTCTACGAAATGATCCCTGCGCAAAGTGATGGTATCACTTTACTCTGCTCTGGTGAGATCTCACCTAGAGTATTGTGTTGAGTTTTGGGCATATAGACAAGCTGGAACGTGTCTAGCGGACAGCAACGAAGATGGCGAGGGGTCTGTGAGACCAAGTCCTGTGAGGAAAGGTTGAAGGAGCTGGGTATGTTTAGCCTGGAGAGGAGACAACTGAGAGTTTTTATGATAACCATCTTCAAATACTTGAAGGACTGTCATACAGATAATGGTGTTGAGTTGTTTTCTGTTGCCCCAGAAGGTCAGACCAGAACCAATGGGTTGAAATTAAATCAGAAGAGTTTTCGGCTAAACATTAGGAAGAACTTCCCAACAGTTAGAGCAGTTCCTTAGTGGAACAGGCTTCCTTGGGAGGTAATGGGCTCTCCTTCTTTGGAGGTTTTTAAACAGGGGCTAGATGGCCATCTGTCAGCAATGCTGATTCTGTGAATTTAGGCAGATCATGAAAGGGAGGGCAGGAAGGGTTACATCAGTGCTTAGTTCTTGTGGCCCTTTTTTACACGCTCAGGGAAATGCCAGTTTGACTGAGGATCCTGGAGGTTTTTTGTCATCTTCTGGGCATGGAACAGGGGTCACTGGGTGTGTGTGTGGGAGATAATTGTGAATTTTGTGCATTGTGCAGGGCTGGGGGTTGGACTAGCAGACCCTGGAGGTACCTTCCAACTCTATGATTCTATGATTCTAACAGTTGAAATGGTATAAATCCAATACAAGCTGTAATGCAGATAGTCACACTGTACACACTGTTAAGAGGAACCAATTTGGTGTTGGCGTCAGAATGGTTTTGAGATCTGGGTTCAAATCCCTGCTCAGTCATAAAGTTTACCGGATTATCCTTGGGCCAGTTTTTATCTCTCGGTCTTGCCTACTCCATAAGGTTTTTTGTGAGGATAAGAGTGGCAGGCCAAAGATTTCAGACATTGTCCAATTTTTGCTATCTGGAGATTGGCTTAGGCCTGCCCCCCTTGGAGTACAAACTCCATCTCAGAACACAGACTGTCCTTCAACAGACACCTCTTTCCACTGCCCCCTTTGATTACAAATCTCACATTTAGTTTCTCCAAGGTGCCAATGGTGTTTTGGGCCATGGCAAGTCTCTCCAGGAGTTCATTAATCCTCTGGTTCAACGCTTCCCTCTCTTCAGCCATGCTCTGAGCCTGGAGGGGAGGAATGGCAGAGCCAGACAAAGTGGGTTAAAGAATAAGAGTGCATTGCTACACTACAAATGTATTAGCTGTTTCTTCACCCCCACCCCAAAAAACAAAGTCTCCCTTACAATATTCTGTAGTTTCTCTTCCAGCAGCTGGTTGGTCTGTCGTGTGTTTGAATAATCTTGCTGAAGCCTGGAAGGAAGCATATACAGAAATGGTATCCGTGATGTAGGAGTGGATTGTTCAAAGCACTTACATTTCTAGCTCCAGATTAAACTCCTCCCATAAGAGGGCTGTCCCCCCTGCCCAACAGCCACACTATTGCCAACTTACTTGCCGAATTTTCCCTTTAACATTTCCAGTTCTTCCCAAGTTTTCTGTAGATCTCTCTGGCCTGATCCAGACTGTTCCTCGTCCTTTTTGACCAAGGATGTTGGCTGTTGCTTGGGGGGGGACCTGTGACGACAATAGGAACCAAAGTGGTCCATGAGTGTGTACCTGGAAGAAGCAGCAGAAAAGTGAAACCAAAGGCGGCAGCCATTTTTAGTTCATTTGTTTTAGATGGTGTACAGCATAAGACCTACACTTCAGGGAGGTTCATGGCTTACCTGTTCTTCTGGAAATGGCTGTTTCAAGATAAGAATCACCAGTCAAGCACAAACTCACCAGGCAAGGGCCTTATCACTGGTGTACAGTACTAAACAAAGTTTGTTTCATACTTTCAAGTCTCCTGTCATGGGCATGGATGAGGATGAGCTGACAGAGCCTGCAGAAACCACAGCTGGCCCCTCTGAAGCTTCCAAGATGAGAATCACCAGTCAAGCACAAACTCACCAGGCAAGGGCCTTATCACTGGTGTACAGTACTAAACAAAGTTTGTTTCATACTTTCAAGTCTCCTGTCATGGGCATGGATGAGGATGAGCTGACAGAGCCTGCAGAAACCACAGCTGGCCCCTCTGAAGCAGCAGAGGAGAATAGCTGGCAAGTGTCTGTAGCAGCAGTCTTCACACCTGGCCCAGATAAGAAGGAAGAACTGCAAGCTGAAAGTCCTCCTGACTCACCCCGACGTGTGACTCGTTTAAGGGAGTGACTGCATCAAAACTCAGCAAGCAGGCGAAGAGAGGCCAGGCTACAAGGGAGACACTCAGCCAGCCCAGAGTTCTAACAGAAGCCTGGCCGATCGTGCAGCTGGCTAATTGGTAGCAGCATTTAACTCTGCACTCTGGGCATTACTCTTCATAGAAGAAACAAGTCAGCTTTGTGCTGCTAGCATCCACTCCGGCTTGGCTCTTGCACCTAGACCTTTGGACTTGGCTCTGTATTCCTGGCTCCTAACCCCGGCTTGGCTTTGGACTACGTTTCTCGTTAGTGATTTGGACTTGGTTCTGTGTTTCTGGCTCCTGAGCCCGGCTTGGCTTTTTGGACTTTGCAATGTCTTCTTGGCTCCTGACCTTCGCTTGTTCTGGTCTCCCTTTGACTGGCACCCCAGCCCGTGACATCTCCCATGGCCTCTATGTATCAAGTTTGCAGTGGCAGATATTATAGGACCTGGGAGAAGGTGAGAGTAGGGACTGCCAGTGCCACCACAGCTGTACTTTTCAGAGTAACTAGATGTGTAGACATTAGCAGGGACTAACCCTGGCAAATGCAGAACGTTGGAGACCATAGAATTATAACCAGTGCCTGAAATTGTTATCCCAAAGCAAACTAAAATAGAGATACTCACATAGGTTGTTCCATGTTCACCTCTTCCAGAAATTCCTGAAGAGAGAAAGAAAAAACCTATCTCCGATCCAAACTCCAGATAACATTGGGATCTGTATATTTATTTATTTTTAGAGCTTTTATACCCCACCTCTCCAGAATCTGCAAAAGTCATTGAATCCACTGTACTTGGACTGTTGTGCTCTAAGAGGCTCATGCTCCATACCAAAACAACCCAAAATCCCTTGTGCAGCCCATGACCATTTAACAATGAAAACAGGGGCATACTTGTACCACCTCTTTCCCATACTAAAGTTCACTGCCGAAGGTCACCATTAACCACAGCTGAACACACTGTCATAGTCTGTCCCTCACTGATTTAGAAAATATGCTTAAAAAAACAGGGATGTCAGCCTCCAGGTGGGACCTGGGGATCTCCCAGAATTACAGTTCATCTCCAGACAACAGAGAGGGTGGACTCTATGGCCCTGTACCCCACTGAGGTCCCTGTCCTCCCCAGGCTCCATCCCCAGATCTCCAGGAGTTCCCCAACCTGGATCTGGCAACCCCACCCCCCGCATCTTTCACTGATGGCCGGGGGGGACTGAGCAACCCTCATTAAAACATAGTTGTCATGAATATACTATCACGCTTAAAAACAGATCTCAGCAACTCAAGGGAGTGACATGGCTGTCTGTATATTGCAAGATACCTTAGTGTTTATGTGTAAAATGTGAGAGAGTAATATTTTTAAAAAGAATACCTCTATGCATCATTCCATCAAAACTCTGAAACAGGTGCAAACATTAAAAATCAAGAAAAGGCCCTGTGATCACAGCAGGCGCTTCTCCCCACGCATATGGTGGAGATGGATTTGGAGCAGGGTTGCAAGCTCCACGTGGAGATTCTGAGGGCGGAGCCTGGGGCAGGTGGGATTTGGAGAAGGGAGGGACTTTGGCAGGGTATAATGCCACAGAATCCACCTTCTAAAGCAGCCATTGTCTCCAGGTGAACCGATATCTGTCACCTGGAGATCACTTGTAATAGCGGGAGATTTCCAGCAACCCTAGCATGAAGCAAGAGAGCAAGAGGAAGAAGATAAGATATTGGATTTATACCCTGCCCTTCACCACCTGAAGGAGTCTCAGACCAGGTTACAATCCCTTTCCCTTCCCTTCCCCACAACAGGCACCCTGTGAGGTAGGTCGGCCTGAGAGACCTCTCTGAGAACTGCCATTGAGAGAACAGCTGTGAAAGAACTTATGAATGACCCAAGGTCACACCAGCAGCTGCATGTGGAGGAGTGGGGTATCAAACCCTGTTCTCCTAGATTAGAGTCCGCACTCCTAACCACTACACCAGACTGGCTCTCTACTACACCAAACCGTTCTCCGCATACCTAAGGCCTCGGTGAGAGCACTCATACCTTGCCGAGTGTCCCGGTCTTCCCTCCCAGGTTCTCCTGCTGCTCCTTGGTGCCTGGCTTCTCAGCAATTCCTGTGGCATCCTCCTCGGCTTTCTTAAGGGGCAGTGCTTGAGCGTCAGTGTCTTTGCCGGGGCCTGCTTTGGTTTCCTTCAGCTTGTTCTGCCCCTCGCTTGCCTCTCCCAGTTGTTTTGGCAAACTCCCCAAGCTGGCTGACAGAGGAGCAGCAGGGCCCCATTCTGGACTGGTGCTGGCTTCATCAGTGGTCCTGGCAGGAGATGGATTGTCCTGTTGTCTCGTGTGGTGGCTGAGGGCAGTGTTCCCTTTGGCCAAGGGCCGTACCAGCCTCCTTCGGCCATGGGAAGCCTTCTCCTCCTTCCCCTCAGCCACATCCAGAAAGGACCCAGGCGAGCTGGCTTTGCTGCTGGAACCTTTTGAATCGGACCCGTCGGAGCTGGGGGGTTTGCTGGCCGAGGCAGCCTCCGGCGGCTTCCAGCCCAGAGAACAGAGACTGGACGGGCTCAGCACTTGCCGGGTAATCTCGTTGAGGAACTGAGAAAAACGCAGCTTCTCTTCCACCCGCTTCCTCCGCCCCGTGTTGGGTGACTTCTTGGGGGCGCTCAAATCTAGGCTGCTGGGGGGCTGCTTCTCCCGCTGCAGAGGCCTGACAGGTCCCAGAGGAGCCTGAGGCTCTCTTTCCATCGAGCGTACAGTGATGGTCTCGATGGACTTTGCCTTCCGCAGCCGGTCAACCCTGGCCATTGCCCTGTTTTTCAAGATCCCTTTGCTGGGGCCCCCTGTTTGGCGAGGCTGCCGAGGGGCAAGGACTTCAGCTTGCTCACTGGACAGGGGGCTGCTGCGCTCCAGGCCGGGTTCCTTGTAAAGGTGCCTGTCAAGGCTGTCATTTGGGCCTGGTAGAGACCGGGCTTCCTGACGGCCCTGGCGACGGGGCAGCCGGTCAGTACTCTTGCTTTGGCCTTTCCTCAGACGAGCCAAGGAGCTGGACAGGTCTTCTGCCTTGTAGGCTGCTTCCCTATCCCGGCTGTGGTGGAAAGCGCTGGCTTTGCTTGAAATGTCTATGCAGGACTGAGAATGCTGAGAGTGAGGACTGGTCTTCAAGAAGGCCTCCTTGTTGAAACTGGCTTCTGAAGACCAGGACGTTGAGGAGGTGGAGGCTGTGGGCGAAGAAGACCACGAGAGGGTGGAAAAGCGATCTCTGCGGCTGTCCGTCCCCTGCATATCGGGACCCCCCTTCCCCTCTTTGCCCGACTGGACGGGTGTGAAGAACTTCTCCATGACTTGTAGTTTACCAGCCGGCACTTCCACAACTCCACCATGATCTCCCTCCCACCGGATTGGAGTGAAAGCCTCTTCCTGGGCTTTCTTGTAGGACTTTCGGCGGATGGCTGAGGCACTCATCCTGGAGCATTAGGATGCCTGGGCTAGATCCGTCTGTTGCTAAACATCGTCTACCTTCCGCACTTATTTAACTGTGCAGGCCGGTTCAGTAGAGCGGAAAATGAGAATGCCAATATAATGGGCGCTGGAGCATCAGAGTGAGCAAAGAGAAGTAGGCCGGGTTGTTTGCGTCATTTGTTCTGCCTCCCCTCAAAATGTGACATTTTGAACGCAATAGTATTGCCAAATGGAAGCATTCTATGTCTATGAAGCATTGATGTCCCTACCAACCTGGAAGGCAGCAGACGTGACGGGTTCTCAAGAAGTCTCCCACTGAACAAACCCAGACCTGCTTGACTTCAGCATGGTTGCTGCGTGCTTGCAGACCACTCTCTGGAATTTGGACAAGGAAAACGAAATGTTTTCAGGATACTACATCTGTTGGGAGGTGTTCCCTCTAAGCTGAGTTAGTGTGAGCTAGCTCACAGTTTTTTACCCTCCGGCTCACAGATTTTTGTCTTTGCTCAGGAAGGATGGCTCCAGAGCAAACTAACTGATGCAGCAGCCAAATCGCTCGCTCACTACTTTAATGCCAGGAGCTCACAGAGTAGAATTTTTGCTCACAGGACTCCACAGCTTAGAGGGAACATCGGTTGGGAGTTTACCTGAATGGCCCAGGCTAGCCCAGTCCCATTGGAACTCAGAAGCTAAGCAGGGTGTGGCCTGGTTATGGGAGATCACCAAGGAAGTCCGGGATTGCTTTGCAGAGGAAGGCAACAGTAAACCACCTCTTTTCATCTCTTGCCTCGAAAACCCTTCAAGGTCACTGTAAGTCAGCTGCAACTTGACAGCAGCTTACATCAGTTGACTTTCCTTTCACCCAGCAAGCAGTGGCAGAGTAAACACTCAAAGCCCACCTTATTCCAAGTCAGACCAGTGTCCCACCTTGCTATTGGCTGGCTGGCTGTAGATCTAAGACACAGGCCTTTCTTAGCATCTTCTACCTGAGATCCTGTAGTTAGAGATGCCATGGGCTGAACCTGAGACCTTCTGCAAGCAGACCATGTACTCTACGAAGCCTCAGCCATCTCCTCTAAAGGCACTGATGAGATATTTTCTGTTTTCTATGATGGCAGTGTTGCATATAATTGTCCTACAACAGGTAGATATTTTCTGTTAGCTATGGTGGTGGTGTTGCATATAATTGTCCTACAACAGGTTATCAACTGTTCAAAATATACATCAGCATGTGAAATGGGCAGCTATGCACTGCACGGCACCTTAGTGTTCATGCGTACGCATGTGTGCTAGAGATAAGATGCATCCACCTGCCCACTCAGAGATTTGATTTCTAGATCCAGAGGAGGGAGAAGAACCTTGAAGGAGGGCACTGCTTGAAACTCACACTCATGTTGCTGCCTTATACTGAGTCAGATCATTGCTCTCTCACGGTCATTTTTCAGACTGGCAGCAACTCCAGGGTCTCAGGATGGGGTCTTTCACATCACCAACTACCTGATCCTTTGAACTGGAGGTGCTGCAAATTGAACCTGGGTTCTGGGATCTTCTGTGCACCAAAAAGATGCTTCTAGCACTGAGCTGTGTATCTGCCCTGTTAACATTTTAACAAAGTGTTCCCCAAAAGCAAAACAAAAACACCCTGAAAATTTGCCATCCTTATTTCTTCCCATGTCCATTACTTTTTTATTTCTCCCTGTGAAGGTAATTGAGGCTGAAAGAGAATGGCCCAAAGTCTCAGGGCAAGCAGAGATTTGAACCAGGAATCCTGGGCCTGGCTGACAATGCAAACATGCTCCCTAGGCTGCTGCTGTTGCAGAGAGAGAGATTCTTTGGTTTGAACTAAGTTCTGTTGGTTTTGGGGTTTTGGGCACTGCCTGGCACATTAGCACATTGGCACAGGTTGTGGGAGGGCAGATTGCTCTGTTTCTGCTGCTGGGCATGGCTGGCAATGCAAACATGCTCCCTAGGCTGCTGCTGCTGCTGCAGAGAGAGAGATTCTCTGGTTTGAACTAAGTTCTGTTGGTTTTGGGGCTTTGGGCACTGCCTGGCACATTGGCACAGGTTGTGAGGGGGGGCAGATTGCTCTGGTTCTGCTGCTGGGCCTGGCAAACACCACCACACACCTCACTTAGTTTCTTACAGGGAGATCTGCCTGCCTTTTCCCCACCCCCAATTTCTCATAGGAAACAATGGAGAACTGGGGACACCCTCTTTGGATGCCCCTGGAATTGGAGCCCGTGGTCCAATCTTCTTAAAACCTTGGGGGTCTTTTGGTGAGAGGCCGGAACAGCCGTGGTCCAAATTTGGAGCCTCTACCTCAAACCCCCTCCCCCCCAGCCCCCTGCAAACCTTCCAGAGGATTTTTGCCATTGACTTCAATGGCCCCATTGGATATAATGGACCCGAATTTTTCGGGAATCCCAAAAATTTTCGGATATCTATTCTTTACCGGTATAGATATTCAGGGTTTTTCGGGAATCCCGAAAACATTTGGGTCCAATAAAGCCAAATCCGAATTTTACTAATTTTTTTTTTTGCACACCCCTAACCAGGATCTGCGCAGGCCTAGTCAAACACGCAACCTACTACACCACACTTAGCAAACTGCCATTAGTGAGGTGCTAGCAAGTCGCCCTTCCTTCAGGTCTCCATTAGCTAAGCCTCTGGACGGGGAGTGGGTTCATGATGACTCTAGCACCAGAGAAAACATCCATTGCTAGATGCACAGAGTTCTCATTTTCTGGGGACGAGGGATGGGGCTGAACCTGGTCCAGGCCCATACTTCAGAATCAATATTAAATTATTTCAGTTATTTAAATATGGAATTATTTATATTTCCAAAAACCATATGCCACCAACAATTAATCATGTCGTTTTAAATATATAATTTTCCCCACTTGTAATAATCTGAATCTCAGCCAACAAAAGAGGACTCTGTAAGAGGAAAGGAAAGATGTCGTGAATTTCTTCACTAAGACAATTTGAGTAAATATTTCATTTGCAAACGAAAGGGAATACTTCCTCTTCCTTTCTCTTTTCCTTATAATTTAGGCAAAGTGTGTGACTGGCTCATGGTCACATACAGTGCAATCCTAATAACAATTTCCTGTGAGTAAGCTCGGTAGGATAGAGTAGGATCCTGAGTAGACCTGTTTAGTACAGCAGAATGACCTTATCTTCCATGTGAGAGCCAGTCTGATGTAGTGGTTAGGAACACAGACTCTAATCTGGGAGAACCAGGTTTGATTCCCCACTCCTCCACATGCAGCTGCCGGTGTGACCTTGAGTCAATCAGAAGCTCTTTCAGAGCTATTCTCAAGAGAGCTCTCTCAGCCTTACCCTACCTCACAGGGTGTCTGTTGTGGAGAGAGGAAGAAAAAGGAGATTGTAAGCTGCTCTGAGACTCCTTCAGGTAGTGAACAGCAGGGTATAAATCCAATCTCTTCACTTCATATTTGAGGGACCAGCTTTATCTCCCCACTCCCATGTACAAATGCAGAGACCAAAAAAAGCTAAAGAGAAATATTCCTGTCACTTCCATTTCTTTTTTACTAAAGGTGCAATCTCCCCACTCCCATGTACAAACACAGAGACCAAAAAAAGCTAAAGAGACATATTCCTGTCTCTTCCATTTCTTTTTTACTAAAGGTGCAAGTCCCAGAATACTAACATCTCCTTAACTTCCAGTACATTGTCTGTTTTTGATGATTCACAGGTTAAGAGTAAGTGCTTTAGGCAGAAATTCCAAAGATCCCAAGGAAAAATAAGATAAGGCAGGGGATGGGTGCTCCTGTATGGCAAGTAAATGTCCCAGAGTCACAGAGAAAGAAAAGGGGAGTTGGCAGCCTCTGTGCGAGTGGAGAGGATGAGACGGCACAGTTTTGGCTGGCAGGGCAGCGATAGTTATAGCAGCCAGCCCAAAAGTATTTCAAAGACATAAGGTCCAGGAAGTCAGGGTGAGTCCAGGATGAAAAGCTGTGGATGTCCTGGCTGTGACTGAGTTAAGGGGGGGGGGGTGTCTTCCCAGGAAGGCGCCAAAAACAGATTGCGTCCAGGCAGGGTGGAGGCTGCCTCCCTGCCTGGAGCAAGCTGGTGGGCTAGGAGACATTCAGGGAAGGTCGGCAAAAGGTAATCAGGTCACCTGGCTTCTTGAGAGTAACTAGATTTTGCACGCAAGAGGACATTTGCTGATGAAATTACCTTGGTAGCAATTTTCCCTCTAAGCTGAGTTAGTGTGAGCTAGCTCACAGTTTTTTAGCCTCCAGCTCACACATTTTAGTCTTTGCTCAGGAGCAAACTAATTTATGCAGTAGCCAAATCACTTGCTCACAACCTCAATGCCAGTAACTCACAAAGTAGAATTTGTGCTCTCAAGACTCCACAGCTTAGAGAGAGCATTGCATGGTAGACCAAGGTGGGTGTCTGGCTTTGTAAACCCCTGTGGCAATGGGTAGGCAATAATATAAAACAACAACACTGTGCCAAAGAAATAAATAACAATAATAATCAAAATATATACTGTATTATTTTTGAATAAAGTGCCAACAATACAAATGTGATAACGCTTTTGGTAAACAAGTTTAAATAAAGTATTTGTGCAAAGTACTGTAATATTTACGTATGAATTGGTGATGAAGAATTGAGAGGTTGCTGCGTTCCATTTGAATACTCTTTTGTAACAGGAAATCTGAGACATAAGACCATAAGAACATAAGAGAAGCCAATGTTGGATCAGACCAAAGGCCCATCTAGTTAAACACTCTGTCACACAGTGGCCAAAAATACCAGGTGCCATCAGGAGGTCCAGCAGTGGGGCCAGACAACTTGAAGATCAAGACCATCAGACCTTGAAAAATAATCTTTTCGAAACAGATGTTACCAGGACTTCCATAGATGGTGGACGAGTGGATTGTGGAGGTATTTAATACTAACATCCTCTCCAACTGAAGAATTATTTATGTGGAATTTATGAGGACACTGGATTTAATCAAGTTGGACTTTTTGATTTTACATGGGTATTGATGTGAGTAAAGAATGATTACAAGATTACAGTATTTTGTATAAATACTTTCCATTGTTGATGTTGCATTCACTCTGGTCCCTGTTCTTGTAGTGCAATGGGTAGGCATGCAGATGTCCCATTAGTGAATCAGTCTCCCACTCAAGGTTCTGGCCACTCATTAGCATAGCCAGAGGACAGCCTTGACCTCACCTTCTCCAAAGAAAGACGTTCGCTCCTAACATGGCTGCCAAGGCACATTTCACAAGGATCAGGACAGGACCGCACCCATCTAGGCAGGAAGGGGGTTCTGGGTAACACTCCCCCACAACCAAAGTTAAAGTTAAAACGGAGATGGGACCATTTCTTTAAGGCAATACCACCGGGACACAATAACAATGCACTAGTAGTCCATCTGTGAGTCCAAACCTTAATTCTCTTGATCCAATACTTACATCAGATAGTTTTCAGAGGGAAGCCATGTTGGCCTGCAGTAGAACAGCTAGATTTGAGTCCAGGAGCACCTTAGAGAGCAACGAGATTTTTGGGGGTATGGGGCTTTGAGAGCCAGAGCTCCCTTTGCCAGATATGAAGGGAGCTTTGACTCTTGAAAGCTCATACCCACAGAAATCTTGTTGGTCTTTAGGTGCCACTGGACTCTAGGTGCCACAGGAAGTGGTGGCGGATACAAGCATGGAAGGCTTCAAAAGAGAATTAGATAAGCATACGGAGCAGAGGTCCATCGGTGGCTATTAGCCACAAGGTATAGATAGGGCCTCCGGGGCAAGTGATGCTCTGTCATCTTGGTGCTTGGGGGGGGGGGTCAACAGTGGGAGGGCTTCTAATGTCCTGGCCCCACTGGTGGACCTCCTGATGGCAGCTGGTATTTTTGGCCACTGTGTGACACAGAGTGTTGGACGGGATGGGCCTTTGGCCTGATCCAACATTGGCGTCTCTTATGTTCTTATGACTCCAAGCCAGCTGAGTTTGCATTGCAGGCTACAGGGAATGCATTCTTCAGTCCAACCAATGAGGCCCTCCTGATTGCTAGGTGGATTCATCTTTCCTTTCCCCCTTTCATGCTCTCTCTCTCTCTCTTCAGACAGCATTATCCAGTGAAGGTCCCCTCCTGCCCTTACCTTTGCAAAAACAAAGCCAGCCCTGGGCCTCCTAGGACTCTTACCTTTGCAAAAACAAACAAAGCCAGCCCTGGGCCTCCTAGGAACTTGCTAAGTTGCTACAGTGACAAACAGGACTGACTGAACTTGAGAGCCTGAGCAGCCAGAGGGGTCTTGAGCCCCACTCCCCCCCCCCGGTTTACACCCCTGCGGCGTCTTGTGGCACAAAATTGCACCTCTGCAATGAGGAGGGGGGACAGAGCAAATCTGGAATGGAAAACAACGGAAATTTTCCTCCATCGTGCTTGTTTCATCAGTGGAAGGAGAAATTTCACCCTAGTTGTCTTCTTCTCCCCAGACCACTGTGCCTCATCGCACTTTGTTCATAAGAAGAGATTGGATTTATACCCTGCCCTTCACTCTCTTGAGAGAACAGCTGAGAGAACAGCTATAGCCACAAGGTATAGATAGGGGCTCTGGGGCAAGTGATGCTCTATCTTCTTGGTGCTGAGGGGGGGGTCAACAGTGGGAGGGCTTCTAATGTCCTGGCCCCACTGATGGCACTGGTATTTCTGGCCACTGTGTGACACAGAGTGTTGGCTGGTTCCCCAAGACCCAAGCCTAACCACTACACAAAAATGGTCCCCCCCCCAAAAAAAAACCCCAACAACACTGCCTTTCTGGGATATTTTAGGGGGCTGATGGGGGAGAAAAGATCTGCCTTCACCAGTTCCTTACACTTCATGGAATCCAGCCCACACCCAGAAATACTAAGGCATTGCTATTTACACCGTCTGCCCCTTTCACACCCTGAAGCTGGTGAGGCTGGTGGCTGATAACACATTGTAAGGCAATTACATTTTGCTATAACCTGAAGGACCAACACATTGGCTTTTAAAACAGAGGACAGACCACCACAGAGTCTTCAGCAATGTGCAGTGGAGGTGAGGCTCAAGCCGTGATTCTTGATATGAGAACATCTTTGAGGTGGAAGACATTATATAATTTACCCAAGGACAGAAACCCGAAGAGAGAAGACTGGTCAATAGAGAGCGTTATACTTTGTGGTAGAGAGATTTGGAAGAGCTTAGCAAAAATACACGCACACACACACCCCGGATCGGTATATGGCTGATAGCGCTTTTCCTGGCCTCCAGTTACAAGAGACTACGAAAAAATATTGAACCATCATAGCCGTGTGAACAAATTACAATGCACTTGTATAAATTAACTGGCAGGAGTGGTATTTTTAGCCAGACTTTGTATACTCCTTGCAGGTGGAAGTCTGCAGAGTGGAACGCCATTCTTCTTCGAGGGCCCACCGCAAAACAGCCAAACCACCAGATGACTGGCCCAGAAGCCTTTGGATCAAACTGGAGCTCTCTCTCTTCCCCCCCCCCTCAAGCCGGCTGATAGAGATCAAAGTGTCCAGAGTGTCCAGCTCAGAGATCAATGGCCTGGCCCTTCTCACCGCAAGCGAGGAGACCTCAAGGTCACGCCTGGCCTCACCCTGCGGCTGCTTCCCTGTGATTGGCAGGAAATCAATTTGGGGGTAAAACATTAGATCAGAGGAGAAATCACTATAATCAGCTGACACCCAAGGGGGAGGCTGCCTATCCCACCCCCTGTACCCCAACTAAACGCTTTCATCGACAAATGACTCGGCCCTGACTGGGGGACCTTCACTGATCTTGCTTTGCCCTCCGGAGGGCACCGCACCTGGGGACAGGAGGGCTGAGCAAACCCACGAGAGCAGCTCAAATGCTCTAAACCACCGTTTGCCTGATGTATGTTTGTATTCTGAGCTTTGGTTTGCTGTGACGTCTGAACAGAGCTTTGCTCTCTTGTGCATCCCAGCTCTCTTCAAGGGCTGCAGTATTTGAACTGTTCTCCAGATCTGTGCAGAGGCACCAAGTGGAATATAGGCTCAGTAGAATATGGCACAGCTTGCGGTATGAGGGACCCTAACCAAGGGAGAGGGCAGACAAGTACGTAACATGATTTAAAAGCCTTTTTATTACTGACGCTTTGCTCAAAAGCACACAAAGCATGGCTTATGCACAAGGCCAAGGTCTTCAGACCAGCACAGGCTGCAAAGATTTTTAATACACTATTCCTGTAACAAGATTTGAAAGTCAAACACACTTTTGCCAACTTGCCATAATTGCATCCTTGCTCTGAGTCTTCTGTGACTTTTGCTAGCTTATGCAGCACTCCCCACCCACCCCCAAAACCCTTCTTATAAATGAGGAACAAACTCTCCAAAACCTACGCATGAAACAAACAGTGATCAGAAAGACGGAAAAGCTAACTTGCATGATTGTGTTTGTTTGTGGGGATGTTCCCACCCA